ATTCACGCACAATTGAACTGAAATCTACTGCTTACAATGACCCGAGCATGTATTGAAGTTTACGATAAAGCTTGCCCTTGGCAGTCGTATTTTTCGATGCGTCGTGTCATTTAAAGCATTGTTGACAAAGTGCGTTCCGTGCTCGCTGACAACTACCGCATAATGAAAAGCCTGATTACTAAATTTTCTACGCAAGTCGGTACTCTAACAACGAGCACGTGTACGGCCAAAGGCACACACAGAAACAACCAAATTAGAATTGAAAATAGTACCCGCTTGTGCATCCTGTGATTGCAACAGCCTTCGTCACCAAACCCTTGTCGTCTGCTGCGTGGGTTGCCGTTTACAGCCATTCCTAGGCCTCTGTCGAAGCGGGCATTCTTGTAGATAGCGCCATTTGTTTCCAGCCTGTAGGTGAATTTGCATTGCTTAGGATCTTTCATTACTGTTCTGGCAAAACCTTTGTAGCGCTTGTCTTGAACCTTTCTGACAGTAACCTGCGTGTGCCGTAGGCACTGTTCTTCGCAACTGTACAGGCCTCTAAACACCGTGCGTCGTAGCAGTAGCACAGCCCGCAGCGCTTTCACCATCAACTGCTTCCCCCATAAACGGGAGCGAATTCAACTTTGGCCCCAACTTAAGTCCGCCACAGAAAGACCGAATTCAAGCACTTCAAAGAAAATTCAATGGCTGCGTAGGCATGCCAATCAATGAGCTGGGCCACGCTATGTTGGCGCAGCAAAGAACTGACACCGGCTCTGAAGTTCCTGTTAGACATCAGCCGCGTCGAGTCTCTGCTTCAGAACGTGCCACAATTTGCCAAGCAAATGGATGACAAGCTTAAGCGTTGTATCATATCGGGCTCATTTAGTATCTGGACGTCCCCCGTAGTCCTTGTCATGAAGAAAGAAGGCTTGATTCATTTCTGTGTGGACTATCGACGGCTAAACAGCGTCACCAAGCTCGACGAGTACCTGCTCCCACGCCTTGACGATGCCCTTGACCACCTGCATAGTGCCCGTTTTTTTACTACAGAGGATCTTGTTTCTGGCTATTGGCAGGTAGGACTCGTTTCAAATGACGCTGAGAAGACCACTTTTAAAAGTTCTGATGGCCTCTACAAGATTAACCGCCTGCCATTTGTCTTTTCAATGCTTTGCTACAATTCCGGAATTAATGGACCGGTTCTTAGGCATCTCAAGTAGTCGAGGGCATTGGTTTATTTAGTCGACATCATAGTCTGCGGACCCGCGTTTCCCGTACACCGCAGGCATTTGAAAATGGTCTTGCGTGCTCTCCGAGACCCTCGGCTGTTCTTTAGGCCTTCCAACTGCTTGTTTTGCTTCTCAGAAGGTACCTACTTGGGGCACGTACTCAGCACCCTAGGCGTCACCACTGATCTCACGAAGCTCCACGCTATTGCTGTATTCCGCCTCCCACCACGACTAAAAAGCTCAAACGTTTTTTGAGCTTTGCCTCACATTTAAGACGTTTTGTCCCTGACTTCATTTCTCGCGTCGCACCACTTAACGTGCTACTTAAGAAAGAAGTTTGCTGTAAATGATGTCGGAACCAAGAAGCTGCCTTCTGCGACCTCAAGACTGCCCTTAAAGCACCAACGACGCTTGCACACTATGACGAGAATGGCCCTAGGATTCTACACGCTGATGCTAGTGGTCTTGATCTCGAAGATGTATTCTTGCAAGCTAACAAGAAAGGGCAGGAGAGGCCGGTCGCTTATGCAACTCGACGGCTCAGTGAACCACGGAGCCGATACCACGCTTCTGAACTTGAGTGCTTGGTGGTAGTTTGGGGAGTCAAAAAATTTTGTCCATACGTTTATGGTAAAATCTTCACGGTCGTTGCCACAACTTTGCCCTTCGCTGGCTCCAAACAAAAAACATCTCAATGATAATTTCACCAGGTGGGCTCTCAAACTCAAGATTACAATTTTTCTATTGTTTATTGCAGCGGTGCTCGCTATCAAGACACTGACAACCTATATCGCGACCCGACAAATTTCAGTGACATTTCTCCGGTCACTGCAGTGCCTGATGCTTAATTTACGAACTACACAGCTACAAGATGCCAAAATCATTGATATAACCCGGTGACTATCCGGGTAAGTACGCAGTCCCAAGCGTCGTCAAGACAGTCTTTCTGCTTCGTATGTCATCCGAGTGGGAATCATGTATCACCGAAATTATCGAAATGGCTCATGCGGGCCTCTTGTGCCAGTAGCCGTGTGACAATTGGTGCTTTCATGCGCCACGACGCCCGAACTGCCGGTCCCTTCAGGCTGCACAAGACGCTGGCACGCATCCAAGAGAGGTCTTGGTGGCGGCGCATGCTGCTTTTGTTGTGCATGGTGTGTAAAGCACGGAAGGCTGTCATGAATCCCAAATCAGTCCTCATGCCACTTAGCCCCTCCGGAAACACAATTTGAGATCGTGGGAGTTGATGATATGGGACCGTTTCCACATACATCGCGCGGCAACAAATTTCTCAATGTCGCTATGGATTGACTCACGAAGTGGACCGAAGAAAGGGCCACTCCTAACTCTTCGACGCAGCACGTTCTCACGTACATCAACGAGTGCGTCGTTTTTTGACACGGCAAGCCACGCTTGCTCATCAATGACCACTGCACGGCCTTCTCGTAACGCGCGATCAGAAACCTACTGAATGGCCATCGAATTCGACATGACATGGCCACTCCTCAGCTCCCCCAAAGAAATGGCCTGGTGGAACGTACAAATCGTACCATAAGGAAGGTTTTGTCTTCTTACATGAGTCCAAATCATAACGATTAGGAAGAATACGTTGTCGCAGCTGTCTTCGCCCTCAATACGTCACAGCAGGAAATCACATGGGAGTCACCGTTCAAGCTTGTTTATGGAAGTACGCAAAGGCTTCCGCAAGAGAGGTTCTTTGGTTTAACACAATGGTGCGCAACCATCTGGATGACACCAAAACTTCGAAGCTACTTCGAAAAGCTCGCTTTAAAGCACACTTGGTCATAACGCATCACCAGATGAAATTCCCCTCGCCTTCCGACGAGAACTACACCACTTCGAAACCATGAGACCTCGTGCTGGTTCGACGCACCCAGCGCGCTCCGCAGCATCGCCAGAAGTTTCTTCCCCAATTTTCCGGCCCATTTAGAACAGTGGGATCCCTAAGCCCTGTTACTTTCTGCCTGGAAGTCATTCCCGAACTGGGCACAAAAGCAGAAACCAAGTTTTTCCCGCCCATGCAACCAACATGAAACTTTATGTGCCACGTGATTTCTGTATTCACGCCTTTTTGTCTTCCCACTCAGACTTCAATAGAGAGGACGGCGAATGTAGTGGACCATACCGACGAAGTCGCTAGCGTGTGAGGAGTAGTCCAGAGAAAGAGGACGATGAAGACAGTGTTGGTTTTAGATTGTGGTCGGGCGAATCGCTCTTGTGTGTATCAGTATTCATTCGAGTTGCGGGCAGCGTGGTGAGAGTAAAATGTGAATGCTCTGACGAAAAAAGCGTGTAATCCGATGGCTTCGTTGGGTGTAAATCAATAATTACCTACAAAACTTTCCTTAAGGGAAGAATAACGGGGAAGTGGACCGTGGGAACTTGTCCTCACATGATCATTCCCTCTGTCATAAGCAGGATTTTCTCCTCGCCCGTGAGGCCAGGCAGCACGAGAGAGTCATGACACATGATCATTCCCTCTGTCATAAGCAGGATTTTCTCCTCGCCCGCGAGGACAGGCAGCACGAGCGAGTCATGACACCAACCGGGATGACTCACATCCTATGTTGGACGAAGATTCTTCAACGAGACCCAACTGGGGTCATACGACCACAGCCCGCCCTGCAAAAGGCTTGCTTCGTTGAGCCTTTGCGTGAACAGCATGATGGTTATATCACCTCCGGTGACCGCACTTGGATTCGAACCTGCCATCCGGCGACCAGAGAATGCTGTGGTTCTTGACCACCCACCCAGCGGTCGGGTGATGTAGAAGTAGTTTCGGTATATTATATAGAGTCGAGTTGTGCACAGACATCTCGCATAATATAGGAGTGCTCTGATAAAAAAAGCTTGTGACCAGGTGGCCGCGATGGCTCTAAATCAATATATAGCTGCAAAGCTTTCCTTTAGAGAAACATTAATGGGGAAGTGGGCTGGGGCCACCCGACAACAGACGATGATTTTATCGTTCATCTGCTGCCTTTTCTCCTCACCCGCGAGGCCAGGCAGCATGGACGAGTCCTGACCTCTACCGGGAAGACTCACTCCCCATGTTGGGCGAGCATTTTTAATTAACATTCAACCGGGGCCACACGACCACAGCCCGCCAAGTGACACGCCTGTTTCGTAAAGGTAGCGTGTGAACAGGATGACTATGACGTCACCTTATATGACACCAATCCGATTCGCACCTACCGCCTGCCAGCCAGAAAATGCTGTGGTTCTTGACCAATCACACACTGGTCGGCTGATCTATTATCAGTTATTTTATAATATATAAATTCGAGTTGCGGGCAGAGTTGTCGGAATAAAATGCTAGCGCTCCGACTAAAACAAACTAGTTAGTGACCCGACGATCTCGTTAGTAGTAAGTCAATACATAGCTACAAAGCTTTTCTTAAGGGAAAAATAATGGCGAATGCGACTGTGGCCACCCACTCTCAGAACATCACCACAAGTTTACCCACCTGTGCGGCGGGTGACTGCCTGTGGTGCTTGCACAGATGTACACACCATAAGCAACGCAAAAGTGTTCACCTATGGCCAGTGTAGCTTACACTACGTATAGTCCCACTACGATGGCGCAAATCTGAAGACCTGCATGAAGTCCCTCGTAGGAAAGTCTACTGTTTCTTTTAAAATGCAGTCTTCTGGATGTAAAACACGAATACGACCGCATTGGGTAACTCTGTGTTCAAGCTGTTCAAGCTGACGAACTTCTGAATGATGCTACTTGACAGCAGTTTAGCTCTCTGCGATGCTTACCATGCGAGATAAGTCCTCCAAGCTCAGTGACCACTCCGGACAAGAGAGGAAAGAAAGGGCTCCAGGCGATGTCGGTGCAATACGCCACAAGCACGTCTCCTTTCTGCGTGTGAAAACAGCATTTTTTGAAGAGCACAAGCGACCACGTCTGTTCACGACCACACGGCTTTCCGCAAACTTTGTATTGCTCAAACTAAACATATAAAAACTATTTATTCAGGCAGTGATTCTCAGTGTCTCGATAAAAGCATGATAATGCGGTTACCTGAATTGTAGTGGCCTCTTCGATGGTGTGCACCACACGAGCCGTGCCTTCCGCGGTTCCGCCACTTACTGGTGTGCCTGTATACAAAACGAATTGAGCTAAGGAGCTGTTGTACAACAAGATCTTGCATGCGTTCTGTTACTAAGAAGGCCATCTTATATATTTATTTAATGACATACTTGACTAATAATGTATCTTATCGACAGCGCCCCACGACCTCGGAACGATTATGCAAAAATTATCCTCTTGTCACGATCCTAATGTGACGTCAGTATTGGCACTCCGCAAACACTTGATATCATTAGTGCAATCACTACTTGCGTACCTTAACTTTTGTTGCGGAACCTGTGAAAGTGAACACAAAAAATGAGGACCGATACATGATAACTTTTCCGCATATAAGCTATGTTGTGGTATTTGAGAGCCATGAAGATCATTTGGTCTAACACTTCTATGAAGACCTAGAGTCAGCCATTAATAAAGACACAGTGTACTATTCTGATGGGCGTTTTTAATGCCAAAGTAGGCAAGAAACAGGCCGGAGACCATGCAGTGGGGCAATATGGCATCGGCTCTAGAAATGCCGGAGGTGAGTTATTAGTAGAGTTCGGAGAACGTAAGAATTTACGGAATATGAATACCTTCTTCAGGACACAGGCAAACCGTAAGCGGACGCGGCAAAGTGCTAATGCCGAAACACAATATGAAATTGACTTCATTCTGTGTACACACTCAGGCAATGTACAGGATGCAGAAGTAGTTGGCAAGATTAGATGCAGTGATGATAAAATGGCAAGAGCTCGTGTGCACCAAGATATAAGAAAACAAAGGCAAAAACTTATACGCAAGCAGCCAATTCTCAACTAGGGGTGAGAGGCAAAAATACAGGACTCCAGAGTTTTACTTCAGAAAAAATCAGAAACGATTCGCTGTACAGAAGCGAAAAGAACAAGAATGGTATTGGGAGAAACTATAATAGTCCAAGAGACTGCGACATCCCTCCAGTAACGACATAGGAGGTTAGGAAAGCCCCAGAAAGATTGCAAACAGGCAAAGTCGCTGGTGAGTATAAAGTAACAATAGACCTCCTGAAAAATGGTGCACAAATTATTAGAAAAATTAGCCACCTTATATACAAAGTGTCTCTTGACGGGACTGGTACCAGAATCTTGAAATAACGCCAACATCATCTTAATCCATGAGAAAGAAGGCATCAAGAACTTGAAAAATAACAGGCCGATCAGCTTACTCTACGTTCTCTACAAACTATTTACAAAAAGACTAGCTAATAGAATTAAGACAATATTACAGTTCAATCAGCCAAAAGACCAAGCAAGGCTTCGTGCCAGCTACTCTACAATAGCCCATATTCATACTATCAATCAGGTAATAGGGAAATGCGCTAAATACAAGCAACCCTTATACATTACGTTTATAGGTTACGAGAAGGCGTTTGACTCAGTCGAGACATGAACAGTAATGCAAGCACTACGTAACCAGGGTGTCGCAGAGCCCTACATAAACATTTCGGAAGAAATCCACAGAGGATCCACAGCCACCATATTTCTCCATTAAGAAAGCGAAAGAATACTAACATTGAAGGGTGTAGGGCAGGGAGACACGATCACTCCAATACTATTCACTGCGTGCTTACGTGAGGTATTTAGGGTTCTAGGTTGGGAGGAGTTCGGAATAAGAGTTAATGGAGAGTACCTTAGTAACCTGCAATTCACTGATGACGATGCCGGGATGAGTAACTCAGGGAACAAATTAAAGTTCATGATTACTGAACTGGACACAGAAAGCAAAAAAGTAGGTCCGACAATAATAATGCACAAAAAAAATGTAATGTGCAATTATCTCGGCAGAAAGCAGCACTTTGTTATACGTAGAGGGGCGCTGGAACTACTAAAGGAATATGTCTGCTTAAGACAGGTAATAACCAAGGAGTTGAACCACGAGATTAAAGTAACTAGAAGAATAACAATGAGGTAGAGCATATTTGGCAAGCATTCTCAAATCATGACTGGTATATTGCCACTATCTCTCAAGAGAAAGGTATAACAGTTGCATCTAGCCAGTACTTACCTACAAAGCAGAAACCTTGAGGCTTAAAATTAGGGCTCAGCTTAAATCGAGGACGACGCAGCGAGCGATTGAGAGTAAATTGATAGGTGTAACCTTACTGAGAGACAAGAAGAGAGCAGAGCGGCTCAGGAAACAAACCAAGGTTAAGAATACCAAAGTTGAAATCGAGAAAAAGAAATGAACATGAACCGGACACGTAGCACGTAGGCAGGATAACGGATGGTCGTTAAGGGTAACTGGTTAGATTCCCAGATAAAGCCAATGCAAGAAGTAGAGACAGAGAGTTATGTGGGCCGATGAGAATAAGAAGTTTGTGGGTATACCTAACGTGGCAACAGAAAGCGCAAGACCGGGTAGATTGGCGGATCATGGGAGAGGCTTTTGCCCTGCAGTGGGCGTAGTCAGGCTGATGATGGTATTCATTATGATGATGATTATTATGACGACGACGACGATGATGATGATGATGATAATGATGATGACGGTATTTGAGAACAGGAGGCATTTTTTTCTATTTGATCGAAACAGCTCCGATTAGTTTCTGTGCAAAATATTTGGTGTGATTGGTCGCCAGTGTGGGCCCCTGGTCACGGTGCTACTGACTTTAAAGGCGCAAATTCGAGCCCAGTAGCACTTTATTCGAAGCTAAATTTTTGAGGCCTGTGTTCAAAGTTGCCGTTTGGTAGAATTGAATCGTAGCCAGAAGTCAAGCTAAATGTTCCCGAAGTAGGCAAGCCACTAAATAACATCACCAAGTTCATGGCAAAATGACAGAAAAGTGGTGTTTTGAAACGAGTTTTAATATTAAACGTTAGTGATATCAGTTTGAGTTTGCCGAAATAGAAATACTACAGCAGTTCTTTTCGCAGCTTGCATGTTTTCCAAGCCATGAGCAAGTTGCTAACTTGATGGAGTTACTTTTATTCCACCAGGGGCTTTAATCACTTAGAGGCAGAGCATGTACCAGCGTCGCAGCGACGTGTCACTATTGGTCCCGCATAGCGCCAAAATTGGAGACGCCATATTTCAAAACACAAAGTCTTTTCTAGGGCTGGTGTGACCGTAAACCTAGTAAACACCGACGGGTTTTTTCAGAACGAAACGGAAAAAATTTCAGCCAATTCGCGTTGCGAGGCACCACCTAAAGAAATCTCTCTCCTCTGCGGTGGGTGAAAGGCGGTGGGTGAAAGCAAGAAAGCGAAACAGGAGAGGATGGTGAGTGGCTGTGTCGGGGGCATTATGTGGCCGCTAGCAATAACGCTGTAGTATTTGACGTGACATGTAAAAATTCTGACACGCGTCATCACTTGTCAGTAGAACGACGGCCGGCTCTCTGTTCGCCGCTGTCAGTGCCAGGTGTGATCTCACTTTGCCCTTCTCGGCCAGAAGTTCGGCCTAATAAACTGTTTCATTTAAAAAAAGCCGCCTCTCGCTGCGGCCGCATCCCGACCCCGTGGCGACTTACTGGTTGCTGTAAGTCTGGATGTCCATTGCGGGTATATGTATACGTTCAATGTATATGTATATCTTCAGTGGTGTTTTGATGTGTACGATTACAATGTGTGTGTCTATGTCGCTCCTGTATATGTAAGGTAAGCTTCGAGCATTCCATGGTAAAGTACAGGATTTCTGCTAGATTGTAGAAAATGTCGGACGTAGATTTCGAAGATTTTTAACGTAATATTTAGCAAAAAGAGTATTCGCAGGTGGTAGGGTAGGATCGAATCGCGGCTGCGGTGGCCCCACTTTTAATGGAGAAAGAGTGGCATGAGGTCTGTGTGCTTAGATATACAGGAGCATTTTGAAAAAAACACCACCTGGCCGATATTTCCTGCAGCCATCCACTACGCCGCCTCTGATAATCATAAGGTGGTTTCGTGACTTTAACAACAGATGTAATGTCACGTGCTTGTTGCAAAAAAGACGTTGGTAGTTTTGCATGTGCCGTGAAGTACTATGAAATGGACGTAAAAGAACTCGCTTGCGCGTTCTATTAAAGAGACGGAACTGGTTTTGGTATCTCTATATCTGCGGCAAGACCTCTGTTTCGACGTTGTGACATTGGTGCAGGTGCTGGAGCCTACAATCTGATGCAGGACAGTCTTGGTTCACCTAGTCCAGAGACTCAGCCCCTCGTCATGACTCCGGTGCACCGATTGAGTAGGCACCTACTAGGCCTGAGTCTGGAGTCCGCACTTGTTCTGCCTCTTACCAGCATGGCAGCTCTCACCACAGCCACGGTTATCCTTCCATCGCACACCGCTCTTGCCTCCCAGGTGACACTTGAACATCCTCGCGTACCTGCATTTCTCAGTGGGGAAGTGTATGAGGATGCCGAGGACTGGTTCGAACAGTTAAAACAGGTCGTTTTATTCAACCACTGGAGCGAACAGTAGAAACTAGGCTATGCATATTTCACACTGGAAAATAGCGCTCGCACGTGCTATGTGAACCACGACGCTACTTTCCTATCTTGGGAACATTGCCTTCGGAAGCTTCTCGACACATTCTTGAACTCGAACCAACAGGATCATGCACAGCAACTGATCGAGGCCCACTTGCAAATACCTAATGAAAGAGCCGCAGTGTACGCAAAGGGTATGACCCGCCTTTTTCGACAAGCTGACACTGGCATGCCCGTGGCGAAAAAGGTGCGCAACCTAACCAGTGTTCGCTGGCCTCGTATGAAATATACCTACAACAGTAGAAGGATTCATAAGAGAGGCGACTGTCATCAAGTGCGCACTGCAAAAAAATGCCGATAAATTGACCACATGCTGAACAACACGGCAGTATGTGATGCAGCTCAGAACACTGCCGTGTGCTCATATTTGGGTGCAGGTTAAAGAACTCTAGAGGGTCAAAATTTTCAGAGCTCTTCACAGCGCCATTTCTCACAATAAAATGGTGGTTTTGGAACGTTAAACATCCCATAACAATCAATAAATCAATCAGAACACTGCCGTCTGCAAAAGTTCCCTACGACAAA